TATTCTCAGCAAGTACTCAGGCGTGCGCATTCGGCGTAGCGCCGCGTGGATGTTGTTCCACCGAGCCGAATTAAACGCGAGGCATCGAGGGTCACCACGGCGCAGTACTTCTTGGAGCCGTGGTTCCATCTCTTGCCCGCGATGGCCTGTCTGGCGGTGGCGATGACGTTCTCGATGGCGTTTATCGACGAACACCTCTTCCGAAAACCGTACTGGTGATCTGAGAGGCCCCCAGGGCTCTCAGTTATGGCTTCCAGGCGGTCACAGATGATTCTTTCCAGGATCTTGCCCACTGTGTCAAGCATACATAGTGGCCTATACGACGATGGTTCTTCGGGGGGCTTGCCTGGCTTTGTCAGCAGGACGAGCCTCTGTCGTTTCCAGCACGCGGGAACGACACTGGTCCGTAGGCACGCCGTGTACACCTGCAGGAAGATGTCAGGGTGCGTGGCAATGGCGATCTTGATAGCGGAGTTTGATACTCCGTCTAGCCCAGGCGCAGTGTGATCCTTGATCCTCTTGCAGAGCTCTTCGGAGCTCTTCCCGAGTGACGGTTGGTATAATTTCTCCTGCCTGGAGTGGTGGTGGTAGAACTAACTCTTCAGGCATAAGAGGGAAGAGGGCAGCCACTATGCGGTGCAACAGGGACGGAGAGCTTGGTGAATTTGCTCTCGGTGATCTGAGTCGGGACATGACCGTCTCGTATGGTTTGTCCCATACGTCCTCGTTGACCTCGTCGTATCGTTTGTTTTAGCACAGGCGCTTGCTGGTCTTGATAGCCATGCGCAGGAGACGTCTGACGGAGGCATAGCTTGCTCGGCAAGCATCTTCATTTGGCCGGTCACGCGCTTTTTTTTTCTACTTCACCCCATTCCGGTAGCCCGCCGGTAGACCGGTAACCGCCGCTAGGCATTGCTTCGGTGAGGCCGGGGTTATTTGAGCATTTTGGCTACTTCGATGTTAGCGGTTTCCATACATCCCCCATCCGTCGCATAGTGATATGCGACTATTAGGGGTTTAGGGGTTTTCAGTTTTTTCTTTTTCGTTTTCAAAATCTCCGGGACATAATCTCCCGGGAAAAAACAGGCTCGAAAAAACACACTATCACGCATCCCACACACACTTATACACATACCAAACACTCAATCACGCATCCCAACACATTATCACGCATCTCAAACACACTATCACGCATCCCAAACACACCATATATAATATACGTAAGATGCCTCACATCGCGTCGACTTCAGAAAATCGCGTCGATTTTAGCTAAACGTGGCATTTCGTTAATGGTATCTTCAAAACGACCTACAGGACGCTAAAATGATCGTAGAGAACTTTTTTTTTTTTAATTTCTCATTGAAAAGAGTACTTTTTGACGATGCACTTTGCATTGAGATAACACAATAAATAAACTTCAGGTACACGTTGAAACGATTCATTTTTTAAAGAAATTCATGTAAATCCGATTTTCTTCGAGCGCGCCAAATTTTTCCTGCTTTAAAAATCCCCTCGGTGGACATTTTTCTTGTTAGTACTTGTCTCAAAGAAAAGAAAGAGACCGCGGGCGATGGTGTTGAATTTAAAAATCGACCTCGACCATGTAGTCGAAAATCCGGTAAAATGGACAAAAAACAGCCAAAATCCCGGCTTTATACGCATTACGTGGTTCCATAACTTAATTATGAGCTCAGGTGGTGGTTGAAACATGTTTATTAAACTATAAGTTGATGAATCGTGGAATTTAGAATCTCAAAACATCATTTTACCATTTTTGGCGCGTGGTAGAGCGAAAAAAAGGCGAATTTGAGCAAAAAACAGCTAAAAAAATATTAATCGACGTTGAGGAGACAGTAGGAATCATTTGTACGCGCCTGCCTTGAACGAGCTTTCACTTTATACATGAAACTAACAGAAAATCACTATTACAAATCGATTCTAGAAAAAAGCCTAAAAACGGTCCACCCTAATACACATACCAAACACACTATCGCGCATCCCAAACACACTTATACATATACCAGACACATATAATAAATAGAAAAATATAAAATAAAATTCGGCGGAGATTTTGTCCCGGAGATTTAGTCGCGGAGATTGTGTCGCCGGAGATTTTGTCAGTGGAGATTTTGTCACGCTCCTGGTTTAGGGACTCATCTTTTCTACGTGTTGAACCTCCGTTCCCTGCGCGATGCCATCTCTTGATTGTCGTATCCCACTTCCGGAGCCGTAGATCTCTACTGCATGGTCACACATTGATATCGTCTCCTCCTGAGTTAAGTACTAGAACTTGCTTCCCAGTGCCATCTTGTGAGTGTGGTTCTCGCTTCTGTCGCCACCCGGCAAGTGACCAGGTTGACAGGTCAGCTTCATCTTGTGAGTTTGGTTCTCGCTTTTGACTTCATCATGGGAGTGTGTTGTGCTTCCCGTCTATCGCCGGCCTTGTGAGTCCTCGCCTCGGACTCCTACTAATGGTTATTCCTTTCGCTTCCGGCTCGCACAGTGATCTGAGTTTTTTACCGCTTCGGAGGCTGATGACATAGCCTGGATCTTCTTTTTTTGAGTAGTAACAGCTCCACTTCGGGCCCAGGCTCGACCGCACCAGGCGGAAAAACGCGACTCAAAAATTCGTCCAGTAGGAATCGAACTCACGCCCCACGGCACATGCTTGTATCAGCAGGCAAGAACTATACCCACTGAGCCAAGGAGACCGGTGTGTGTGTGTGTGTGTGTGTGCATTCGCTTTGTCCATAAAAAATTTTCCTCTGTTATTATTGTGTTTACACATATCGATCTGCAAGACCATGTTCTCTTAAGTCTCAATAAAGAGTGAGTTTAAAATATTGCAGAGCTCCATTAATGTTTCTCACGCGAACTGAAGAATCTAAAACACTAGCTAATATCACACAAGCATGCTCTATAGAGCATGCATACTATAGTAGGACTTCTTGAGGATGTCACTAAGCGTGTATCTGCAAACGTTGCTGCCCCTGTTCAGGAACCAACTGTAGTGACGACTACAAGGTTCTCATATTAGGCCTTATCGCGCACTTGGCGTAGGAGCGTAACTTAACTTCAACGAAAGTTCGCTTCACAATGTCATGAAATAAAAAATAAAATAACTTGAGTAATGTGTTGTACTGCAATGCCACACAACGATTCATAAGAGTAGGTAAAGCTGTTTTCAATATATTGTTAGTGACATAACCGAGCGAAAAGTAGAACTCTCCTGATGTGCACCTCTATTCGTCTAACAAGGAGAGTCCTTTATGTCCGGGTGATCAAATATCTGCAAAATATTTTTATGGTCACGTGGTACCCAATGATGAAACACCCAGCACTTAGTTTGATCCAATGGGAAAGTAAACAACACTTTTAAGCATAATGAACATTAAAATATTATTTAACATTAATAAGTACCGTATAATAGCGTATCATGGTATCAGGCTAAAACAGTCAAGTCCAACTGACTGAAAAGTATTAACACTTTGACCTTTTCATAGATTGAACACTTTTTCAAAAAATAAACACTAGCCTTATTGGTATATCATGCAAGTCTTAAGGAGCGAACCAATTTGAGCTAAAATTAACGTACTTTACTATAAATACAGATACAGAATATGAAAAAAATTGTTATATTATTAAACTCACTGTTCCTTATTTTTCACTAATTTCTGACATTCACTTGCAGTGATTTCCATGTTTTGAGTGTCAGATTACCTTATCAATGATGCTGCGTCAACAGAATTTTTTTCATCTGTTAATTTTAGCTCAAATTGGTTCGCTCCTTAAGACTTGCATGGTATACCAATTAGACTAGTGTTTATTTTTTGAAAAATTGTTCAAGATATGAAAATGTCAAAGTACCAATACATTTCAGTCAACTGGACTTGATGGTTTTAGTCTGATACCATGATACACTATTATATGATATTTATTAACATTTAATAATATTAAAAACGTCATTATGCTGGATGCTAATGTCAAAGAGCTGTTTACGGGCCTATTTGATCAAACTGACTATAGGCGGTTTCATCATTGGGTACCAAGTGACTATAAAAAAATTTTCAGGACATTTGGTCCCCCGGACATGAAGAGCTCTTCTTGTAAGTTTTTACCACTGCTCATCAATAGAAACCTGGTCATGTCTGGGTAGCTCGTGCACGAATCTAATCGTCATACTCAGAAGTCTTTGCAACCTTAAGTCGAAGTACGCCAGCAAAGTATAGTAAGCCAGACATGTCCAATCGATGTATGGCAGAACATCGACAAAACTAATATTTGCTCAATTCACGCAAGATAAGCAACGCAGTTAAGGCAAGATACATTGAACCAATATCGATATCGAAGTAATATTCCAACCAAACGTCGAATTATTTAACAGGACAACTCCAAGAAACCTTACACGATCCAACAAAGAAATGAAATGATTATTAACAGTGAAGAAAGTGAAAGAGATCTATTGTACTATAAATTATACGGGGTAGCAAAAGTGATACCCTCAGTTTTATCGAGGTTCAGTTATAGGTCAAGCGTTTACACACTCAGAGCGAGTCTATATGAATCATCGTTCATTTTTGCGATGGGCGCAACACTTTGCTGTATGTGTATTTACATATCTATCCACCAATTTTACTAATTTTAAATAAAAGCATTTAAGTAAAAATCAGGTAATTTTTTCAATTCATACTTTATCATTTCTTAAATTCTGATTAGCTTATTGCTATCGTAATTATTTATAAATTTTACATTATTAATAATTATATGGTCACATTATTATTTTGATCAATTTCAGAGGAAGTTGCATGAATGATTTTTGTTGCATGAGTGGCTTTTGGTATTTAAAGATCCAAAACAAACATTAAGCAGTTTTTGGCTTGAATATTTATCAATAAATAATATAGTAAAATCGTAAGATAATATAGCACCAATTACAGAATAAATTTAAAAGCAATCCGTTACTTGAATTAAAAATATATGAAATAATAATAAATACTCACCAATTTGAGCCACAGATTTGTGATCAGCAGTTGGTTTTTCTCATCCTGAAAATAAATAAATAAAAATTATAGAACATTTGGTTCCATTTGTTGGCATGCATTTATTTTTGAGCTCCTTATATTATAAAGAGGTTGAAACTAAAAATACTAATAATTCATTAAGTTGTTTATAATTTATGAATGAATATTTACATTTTTAAAATTCTAAATACCAAAACACTACGTTTACCATGCAAATAATTGTTCAATCGAAGTATTCAAACGAAAAGAAATATTTTTTAATATATCATAATAATTCATGACTTCGTTCCTTTATCCAGCAATGACAGTGTTTCTTCTCGTTTAGTCCATATAGAGTATACATCAAAACCTGTTTCTTTTTTCATTAAATATTTTTCCTTTGTTTAAAAAATAATTCAAAAGTACTCGGTAAAAAAATGTATGCATACGTATAAGTACACACTTGAATGGAATATTTGAATTTATTATTTGAAGCAGAAAAAAATCAATCAAAACAAATCATCATCGAGAATAAAAAAAATCAAACGCATTCAATGAATGAGACGTACCTTTTAGCTCCGCAAAAAGAAAATAAGGTATATTTTTATTTTAAAACAAAGATTGGCATGTTACCTTATGCATGTACTATTCAAAAAAGTGAAAATTATTTAGACTCATTTCCGAGAGAATATTTTGAAAAAAAAAAAGAATAAATGTTTTATTAGAAAAAAATTCTATATGCGTTCAAAGTTCAAGTGTGGCTTTGCTTTTTAAATTTATATTTACATACCAAAACCTCAACTCATGTATAGTAATTACATGAATTATCGATGCCATTACTTTCAGAGTATCTAATAAAAATCACAACAAACGAATTTTATAGAAAATGAAAAGAAAAATGTTGAAAATTCTGTCTTAAGAACTTTTGATTAAGAGAAAATACCTTTTTCTGATTGTTAATAATAATTTTCAATTGTTATAATAATTTCGATTATTGTTATCATTTCAACTGATATTTAATAAAAAACTAGTTGAATATCGTTATAAACTCGTCTAAATGTTAACACAATTATATCCGCGTTGGTTTTATTTTTGTATTAACAATCAGTTGAATTAAGTTGAAATTGTTATTAACAATAAGAAAAAGGCACGATAAAAGTAAAAACAAACGATCCCATTCGTAATATTTTTTGACGGCATCTCAAATTAAAAAAAAATCGTCTCAATCGGTTGAAAAATGACCGAGATACGTCAATTTTTTTTTTCTTAATTACATTTGAACTCTCGGACTTAAACGTCGGGACGCCAGCGAGCGAGACGCCACCCCCAACACTTGACAACGTAGAAATTGCGGCTTTGACTTTGTACGGTTTTATTATTGTTAAGATTTCGAGAAATCAAAATTATCATTATGCCATTGTAAAATATAAGTATTTAAGAATGTAACCACGTTGGTTTGATTCATTAATTGTTAATAACAACGAAGCAATGATTTTAAAAAAAACCTATTTCTGTTAGAAAAGCACTTTGGCAAGTTTTTTTTTTTTTTTTAATCTGCGTTTCAATGTCAGCTATTGAACAAAAAAAAATTTTCCGGCTAACTGTTATAATTGACTTTCTGGGTCTATTTGTTTATAACTTAAAAAGTACCGAATTTTCATCGCATTGTTAAACGTATGTTTTTTCGATTTTCCGTCGAAAACTTTTTGCTACGTATAAGTATAAGTCTTAAACTTTCATTTGCATGTCGAACGGACTCGCTATTGTTATTAACAATCGAGATATAGCTTAGGTTCGAGGGAGAGTTTTCATAAACAAATGACTGATTCTCGGAAACTATACGTCCGATCTTAACTTTTAAAAGTTCATTGTTTTTGTCAAAAAAGACCTACATTTTGATGTATTGTAAGTTCTGATTGAACTGAAATTGTTTATAATAAATGAAATTGAAAAAATGGCCATTTTAGAGGGTTTTTTGCATTTCCCTCGGTAAATAATTAACGTAATCGATCGTGGTTAGGCTCAAATTAAAGATCTAATTAATTGCTACAGCTTTTATTTGAACTTTTTTTCAACTGCTCTTCATGGAAAAGCTACAGAGGCAAAAATGTGATTTTTCCACCCTTCTAACCATCCCGCTACCCCAACGGCAACTCAAAAATTTACGCAGCTAAGGGTACTTGTTCAACTCATCGAGACCAACATATCCCATATGGTACGGTCCTGTCACTAATTTTGTTCAGAAAATTTTTAATTTGACTGGACTATGTGGGGTTCATGAAAAACAGGATACGCACCAATGAAGCCTCGGCTTCGTCTCAGCCGATAATTACATGTGCTCTGAGGCTCTTCTGTTTTTGCTCCCTAGGCACGTTATATACTAAATTTCAATATTTAGATGCATTTGTATGTGTATGCACAATGTGCATTGCACATGCGCCAATTTTGTTTGAATATTAATTAATTGGCCGAGTTTATAATAATTACCCTCATTACTACGTAGGATATTAGTAATCAGCAATGTATTAAAACGATACTGTGTGTGTGCAACGTTTCCGTTGTTATATAATTCTCACCCTTGCAGCCATGATAATTGTTATACTATGTATCATATTATCATGTATCTAACATTTCAATGGCATGGTCCAGTGCTCCTAAATAGTTAATAAGCTATTTATGGGCGTTACAAGTCTGGTTTTAAAAAGCTAAAAAAACGACTTCAATTTTACAATAAGAAGCCAGAGCGTAACTGCAAAAAACAAAGACTTGGGATAATTATGGGTTTCTTCAACACTTTACATCAGGGTATAAAATCGAGAAATAGCTTGCTCGTACGCGCATACATCACGCTTGAACGACGTCCCGCGACGTCCTAACCAGGTCATGTTTGTGACGATGTACACACTTCAAAGGATTCGAAAAATAGCGCGCGTTAAAAGAAAAATAAAAGCAATGAAATTTCTATCGATCCGCGTATCGCAAGACAGATTATTTTTGGCAACAACGCGATGAAATCTGTTCGTTTCTTAGCGTTTATAATTTTTCATTGTTTGTCGGTTAAGGGTAATACAAAGTAGAGTCATTAAAAACTGTGAGTGACAAAATGTCTAAGAGTATTTAAGTGACCTGTTAAATGCTTCTTCGTTCAATTTTTATAAATATATGCATACTAAAGAAAAAGAGAGGTATTAAACAAGGAGTCTGATAGAATCGATCTTGATTGCTTCTATGATAGCAAGCTTAATACAAAGTGAACGAATATATATATTTCCTATGTATATAAAACAGCAGAAGCATGAGCCTTTCGTGAAAAAAATTCTAAGTGCATATGTATAATGTGTAGAATACAGGCACAGTTATAAAGTGCGCGAGAGGCAGGTGAGTAAGCTTCCGGTGTAGTGGAGGCTGGCACAAGGGCTTCGTTTGTATAGATATAGAGGTTCGTTGGACGCTATTGGCTCTAGCTGATGCTACACTTATCGAGTGTGCACTTTATTAAGTACAATTTATCGACGTTATCACCTACCCATTGAATTCTTTCTACCCTTTTCTCTCTCTCTCTCTTTCTCTCTCTTTCTCTTTCTCTGTCTGTGTCTCTACCTGTGCACAGCAGTTGAAGACACCGATTGACAACGATCGCTTCGATCTTGTATTCTTTCATTTGCTATTTATTTGCTCCTTCACAATCTTTATAACTGGTTTTAGAATAAGTGTAAAAAGTCGAGAGATTGAAAGAGGAAGAGAGCATAAATAAAAAGGTCCAGTTTGTACCTATGGATTTTTTCACGTCGAGTCCGTGGGAAAATCGCAGCGAAAATAGCAAGGAAATGTTTGAAATTGAATATCTGAAAAAGCGTCGTTTCAAATTTGTTTAAATAGTGTAGGTCGAAAGAAGAGGAAATTTCTCATCAAAATAGTTATTTTTCAGAAGACCGTTTTTGATTTTAGCGAAATATATGTTTTTGATTATAGCGAGAGAATTTATTACAGCATCTACGAATTTAGATTTCTCATCAAATTATAAATAAAAAGTCATTTTCTCCATCTTTTGCTTAAAGCCATATTTACCCAGTAACATAATAATTTTGTTGTTGTTTGAATGACTTAGCTGGCTTTCTTTGAAATGAGTTGTTTTGAAGCTCGCCCCTGTTCATCTCAACCAGCATCAGTCCTTTCGCTTGTGATGCACTTTTTGATATCGAGCTCGAATAATTGTTAAACGGTGCTAACTCAGTATAAAAATCAATGAGAGAATATAATCGTTATATATTTTATAACAAGCTCCATGCCGCGAAAAACGAATTTCTCTACTTTTTAAGACAATCTACTATTATCACTATAAAAGTTGAATAATAAGTTTTTATTAGAATGTAAAATACTGAATAGAAAATAGGAATTATAAGAACGGATTTGCACTTTTTCCTTCGTACCTTTTGGCAGTTTGTATATCTTTTGGCTAATTGTTACGAGTCGTTTCTATCAATCTCTCGTTGTACCACTACATGAAAACATTATACATTATAAGTAAATACTTTCGCACAAGCCCGATAAAGTTCAGAGCTTTAGCAGTTACTATAAGATAGGTGTAAAAAAATTTGCCGGAAACAGTCCAGATGATGATAGCTTCATTTGTCGCTTCCAAGTGATGGGTAGAAAGGTGGGCTTCACATACTCATTTGGTGACAGTGTGCTCCAGGGTCTTTTCCAAATGATATTTTTTTTGTTTGCGAAGAATATTAAAATACCCGGTGTAGCGTATGCTACGCGACAGCGCTTAACAAAAGGTATTATTTGGGTCAGAATGCTATATATGTATACCCACAATGTAGCAATACAACTTTTTTTTTCTAAATTCTAGTTTGCTGTACTCATATATATATATATATATATATTGTGTGTGTGTGTGTGTGCGTGCGTGTGTGCAGCTTTTCTCCAAAGTCCGAAAGTGTTAGTCTGAGAAAAAGGGATTGTGGCACTTTCTAAATTCAATTTGCCTAAGGCATATTATTTACCAGAAAAAAAATATTTTGCAACATACAGGCAGA